ATCTATTTCTGGCGAACAATTGACTGGTGTGAAGACCTCTCCACCCTGAAGACTCCAAAGGGAATGCCTTTGGCTCTGCTTATGTGCTTCTGGTGATGAGATCCTTTCGTTTCATTTTTTTTCCCCCAGGATGTTTAAGAACACAAAACTCTTCCATCACTGCAACTTGTCAGCTTTTTTTTTTTCCTTCCTCCAGGGAAAAAAAAAACAAACAACCAAACCCAACCAATAAGGGTGCAAACAGCTTTTTCAGCCTTTCAGAGTGACCTTCCCCAGTGTGTGGGGATGCTTCAAGGGCAGATTTATTGTCATGTTTCTAGAAGATAATTGCATGTGGCAACAGCTCTGCATGAAACTTATTGATACTCACTTTGGGTTTTGGGAGTGTTTCACTTTTCCTTAGTCATAAAATAACCATCTTGAAAAGCCAGACCCAGGAACTGGGCAATTTCATTGAAGCATTGGGAATAAACTGTGTATTTGAATTATGATTTTTAAGCCAGCTTGGCAAAAGCTGCTTCCACAGAATCTTATTCTGTGGGAAATGTAATAGAAATTTTAATTCTTAGTTTTCCAGTGCATGAGATCAGTCTCAGTTGTCATCACAGCCAGTGTTGATTATTTCTCCATAATTCTGTTTTATTTTCAGGCAAGTAAGGTTGTAATGGTTGATTAACAGCAAGAAGGAGGGTCATTGCTTCAAATTTAAACCCTGTGTGAAGGCTAGAAATTGAAATCACTTAAAATAACAACAGGAAACTTGATCTTTGTCAAATTCGCTTTGCTTGGGTGTCAACAATTTGCCTTGAGAGCAAGAGGGAATTGTCAACGTGTTTTATCTTGGGAGAAGTATGATTATAGAAAGAGGAGAAAATATTTCTTTTCATCCTACAGTGTTTAGATCTGAATGTTTTCCAGTGTAGTCTGACAAGAGTAACTTCTGAGGGTGATGTTTTGGGTCAGAGATCTCTGAATAAAGCCACTTCCTACCTTTATTTCATGCTTCTCCATCAGTGCTACTTTACGAGTTGAAGAGTTGAGTGTTGGGCTGAGGAGCTGGAGGGTTGTTGGGCTGAGGAGCTGAATGTCTTGAGGCTTCAACAATTTTTACCTGGTTCCCTGGAGAAAAAGAACAAGTTTTAATAAGTTTTTAGTGTTCTTCATCCCCTGCAAGACACGATTATG